ATATATATATATATATATATATATATATATATATATATATATATATATATATATGAAAGAGAAGAAAAGATTGCTAATTGATCTCTCACCGGAATCGAGCTGGGCGGAGGAAGGGAAGGGCAGGGCGGTGGTAGAGGACGCGGTCGATGACGTTCCGGCTGTTAGCGTCAACTCGAGTCGGCGTGGAATTCTGCTTTATCCTCCTCAAAGGAGATAAAAAGAGACATCTTTTTCGGGGTGGGTGGTTCAGTCCACCTAAATAGCGCGGTCCAATTTTTGCCTTGCTCGCCGCCTCAAGCGAGAACGAGTTTGGTCACCCATCCGCGTCGATCGAATCTTGTTTCTCCTTCTCCGTTTTGATTGGATCTCCCGGTGCCGTCTGCTGAGATCAGAGTGGCCGGACGAATTTGGAACCTGCCGACCGCTCCTTGAGGTGGATCCTTTGCTCCTCGTATGTTAGGGCTTTTGCTGTGGTTGGGTTGCCTGTAGATTCTGCTAAGTGATACGATTGTCGCCGCAGTCGAATAAAAGGCTTTTAGTGAGATATTTAGCAGTGGGCTTTTCATGTTGGTTAGATGTAGACTTTAGTCGCAAAATTTTGATCACAACTGTTCTTGTTTCGAGCCAAAGTTGTTCCTTTCCCCCCCAAAAATTCAACCTTTCGTGAAAGCCTTGCCTTTGTAGGAACTTTTGTTCTTGCTGGTATCTGATAGAAGTATTGTTTTGTCTTATTATTGTGATTATTATTGATTAGATTGGATGAACTGACTGCGAGTTATTGTTGAAGCGGGCCAATTTTGAAGCTGGGTTGCGATGGCGACGGCAACCATGGCAACTGCAGCGGGTGCTGCTGCTCTTCTTTACTACACGCTGAATCGTAGACTACAGGCCACGCGATCTCAAGATCATGGTGAATGTGAGCATGGCGACGATGGAGCCAAGCCTCTTCTTTCTGGGAGGAACCGGGTGTCTCGAAGGCCTGTGCGAGCCCCTGCCACATGGTTGGAGACGATATCAACCCTGTCGGAGACGTTGCGATTTACTTATTCTGAGACTTTGGGGAAATGGCCTATTGGTGATCTGGCCTTTGGCATTAACTTTCTCTTAAAGAGGCAGGTAGAACACTTTTGGATTCTTTCAGGGTGTCTGACTTTTTTGCTTAGCAGAAACCTGCCTAGGCTTCCAATACGGCTGCTTTTGTTTGATTTATAGCTACTGGGACACTGTATATTAGATTCTCAAAAGAATGTCATGCTACTTACCTGAAGGTCTGAGGCCCATTCTTTGGTCCATTTATTAAGATGAAGGCCTTGAATAAATATGACTCAAAATGAAATGAACGTTATAACATAGCACATGGGACTATTTGTTGTTTGATAATGTTAAGTTGCATATTTTGTATCTTCCTTTGCATGCATTTACTGAAGTAAGAGAAATAGGTTATCATGTACATATTGCATGCATTAAAGAAGATTTCACTCTTTTATCTGGTTCAGTTAACCACATTGATTCCCTTCGGAGAAATGAGGAACATCTTAACATTCCTTAGAATTATTAAAAAATAAAGAACTTCACCTGTATGTTCAGCACATGCCAGCAAAGGGATGGATTGACATGGTGTTTTCTAATGTCCCATACTGGGTCATAGAGCTAAAGTGCCCAGATATCTGCCAACTCTTAAACCTTGGCAGACACTTATATCTTTCTTGGGACCTTTTGACATGGCCAGCATTCTTCACTATGAATCAGCATCAACAATCCTTGGCTTATCCAAAACTCTTTATAACTTATATTTCACAATCTTGGACTGCAACACTTATTTAACATACGTTTGATAACAGTTCCTTCAGAGTTATGTATAACTTACTTGCATAAAGCTTGTTTCTTTTTGAGTCCAGAAGTATTTAATTTAATCATTTTAGTCATTCCATTGAAGAAGAGAATACTTGTTGCTTCCAATGAAAATGGCAAGTGGTTTCATTTTGTTGGAAGTTATAATTTTGCACTTTCCTCTATGGTCTCGAACACTCTGATAAATGTTGATTTTTCTATAATAAAGCCTCCTGTTATTGATCTGAAGTCATCACAGCGATGTGTGATAAAATCAGTACAGTTGTAGATGTGCATAGTACAGGGGTTTGGGATCTTTCTAAGTTCTCTATCATATCGAGAACTTTTCTATAAAATTGCAGATGTTCCTTATATGTAGCTGCACACTCTTAGTCTAGTCTCCAGTATGATTACCAAAATCTTAGTCCTTACTCTTTGGTAGTTACTACTTACTAGTTACTGGTATTACTTACTTTTTCTTCTCCTTGCAGGGAAACTTGCATGTGGCAAAAACCTATGCTGGAAACGGAAGCATACAGCTTAGAGGAGTTCAAGTTATCGATGAACTGAAGTACCTTCTGAATTTGTTAACTCTTTGCTGGCATTTTTCAAAAAAGCCTTTTCCGTTATTTTTGGAGGCAACTGGTTATTCCCAAGATGATGTGATACTTCAGGAACCTAAAGCAGGAGTAAGTGTTCTTCACTGTTGGAGCTTTAAATTTTATTTATATCTTTATACTTCATGTTATTATATTTCTTTGGGAAAACTGAAAAGATCTATTTGGCAGAAGAGGCTTCTCTCAATTCATTACTTTGTTTCTTTCTTTCCAGATATTAAAACCAGCTTTTGCGATTTTAATTGACAAAAGCACAAAGTGTATTCTACTGTTGATCAGGGGCACTCACAGCATTCGAGATACATTAACAGCTGCAACTGGTGCAGTTGTACCATTCCATCATACAGTTATGAATGAAGGTGGTGTCAGTGATTTAATTTTAGGGTATGCACACTGTGGGATGGTTGCGGCTGCTCGATGGATTGCTAAACTTGCTGGTCCATGTCTTATGAAGGTGTTGCATGAGTATCCAGAGTACCAACTGAAGGTGATTACTGTTGTGAATCTCTCTATTCGGTCTACAAGTATCCTTCTGAATTTGTTTTGAAGCATTTAAGTTGGTCTATAACACAAATTTCATAAGCAGACTACCATTTTTATTTAGTATATGTATTGAATCACATGTTTTTTTCTTTTTTACTCGTTCTAATCTGTTAGGCGCATTTTATGTAGGATTTTGGTACCCATTAAGCCAGTCTCATTTCTTTTGTTGCTTAAGAAATTATTCTTCCTTCTTTCGGATTAAACATTTAAATAAAAAAAAATCCTTGAATGAGTATGGAGAAAATATACTTAACTATTTTTTATAAATTTCCTGAAGTGTTCCATTCTGATGAAAAATGGAAACATTCATTGCATAAAAATTGTCCCAGAAAATACTTTCTTAAATCAAGATTAAATTTCTTCAGTATATCCATTCAACATGTAGTGGATACTTTGTTATATCGTACCATTTAAAAGATTATCATTTTTTTGTATTTGATAATTGGCAAGTAACCCTTATCTTTATACTCTTTCTCCTTATAAGATTCCATCATTACCACCTGTACCACTTATGCATTTTAGTTTTCTTTTATCTCCTACATCCACTCCATTGTTTCCATCACACTCTATTGACTTCCTTTTCTCCACTTAATCACCAAGTTCCAGCTCTGCCACATCCTTTTCCACTGCTCGTCAACCATTATTACGATTCTTTTTCTCTTTTTTGGTTGTGACATCATCACCAATAGCTGCTCCTTAGTGGAAGCAGAAATTCTACCTGTCATGACAATGGAGGAAGAAGAGTGAGAGGAGAATATTAATAATGCAAAATTGCCTTTTTGTTTAAGTTTTGTGAATCTTTTATTCAAACCTATAATTTGAATAAACTAGTAGGAATAAAATTTCAATTTATGGGCATTTTAATATCAAACAATAAAATATTAAAGACAATGTAAATAACACAAGTGATTATGGGCATTTTTATATCCAACTGACGGTGGGTTATCATGACTTTAAACAATAAATTTTGTTTTACATACAACTGATTTACTAAAGATCTTAAATTGGTAACTGCTACTAAACATTTTCGACAACCTTCATTAAAGATTTCTTTTCACAATTTTGTTGACATTTTATGTTTCAAATCATTTTAGATAGTTGGGCACTCGCTTGGTGGTGGCACAGCGGCACTATTAACATATATTTTGCGGGAGCAGCAGGATTTTGCAACTACCACCTGCGTGACATTTGCTCCAGGTTTGTCTCCCTTGATCACAATGTTTGGTTGATGTGCAAACCTTATCCTAGCTATCTTAGATTGAAGTCTCGATTACCTATTTTTCTTTTGATTTTACAAATAATTTACATTAAAAGTAGTTGGCTACAGTTATAACTAGACCAGCAAGATACCAAGGAAGGATCATTCTTTAAAGAATGACTGTTGACTGTCAAGATATAAACAAACCGTTTGTGTGTCAAATTTAGACATCCTGCTTTTGATGTTATCTTGTTGTGTGACTCTCAATAAGTCTTCTTCTTGTGCACTTCAAAAGTCTGACTTAGCTGATCCATCATTTTTTTTGGAGCTCATAATATGCCTTTTAGACTATAAGAGATTACTTTATTTCTGTATGATATCTAAAGGACATTTTATGAGTTTGTGCTTTTTTCATTATATGTTGCAAATCCTTTCACATTCTATCGTGGTATATATTGTACTTGCAGCTGCATGTATGACATGGGAACTGGCAGAATCAGGCAGACATTTCATTACTTCAGTTGTCAATGGAGCTGATTTGGTGCCGACATTCTCAGCTGCCTCTGTAGATGACTTGCGCTCTGAGGTTATAATTGAATTTAATTGCTATATGTTTAATCTGCAATGGAACTTGTGTTCCCATATGAACTTTTAAGTACTACCTATTTGGTTTGTTTGAGTAGAATACTTTTTGTCATTGTAGTATAGGGCATATAATCTGTTTCTGGGGTTTGTCTGCAGTGTTCAGATTAGGAGCATGGTCATGCACTACAAATATAAAAAATGACCTTTTCCAAAGGATAGTCTTCCTGTTCAGCAGTGGTTATGTGTTTGATAGATGCTCTTCTTATATCACTTGTTATGAACTTGAACTCAATCTGAGAGTCTAATGTAGAAAATTTTTTGAGATTTGGCTGCAGAATCTCCCTCCTTCCTCTTTTTTTTTATTCAAAAGAAAAGGACAATGTTCATTTTATACATCACAGATATAAACTGTTGAAGAATTCAAACTTGAAAATAGTGCTCACTGTCAGGGCTTTGTGTTATTTAGGTGTACGTGTTTAGGATATTATTATACTTTGAGATTATGTTCGAGTCGGTAACTACACTAAGTTTTTGAGGTAGTTATGAGATCATTAATCAGAAATGACTTTATACTAACAGGATCTAAATTATATTCTCCTGTGATGTGAAGATATCTGACATGCATTCAGATAATGGACCACCAAGAAATGAAATCAAATTGCATTTAGGTGAATATTTGGACTTGACATTCATTAAAAATTGAAATAGCATGGTCAATTGAACTGCATGAACCATGCGAAATATGTCTGTACGAGGAATTTTGACTTCTTAATTATCTCTTTTCAGCAAAGAGATTTTATTTTCCTTGAGGCCTAATACTTCTCCAAGATCGTTTCACTTGCACACACTTTTGGTTCATTCTATTGAAACCCCAGTGATTAGCAGCTCTTTCATATTGACATCAACGGATATCAGTTCTTTGCTAGTAACTTAACCGAGTGGGAGTAAACAATAATCAAGGAAACTTGCACGTCCATCTCCTGAATGATTCCAATTATATTTATATTCCTGCAAAGCTGCATATATCATTTGTACTTATATAAACTTCATTCACTTTCATAAATTCTCTTAACGTCATTCTATAATTTTACTGTAGCAGTTTAGTAACTGAGGACACCTTTTCCCATTACCTTCTTTCTCTTTCCCTTTCTGTTTCTTTTTTCTTCTCACCTTGTCTCCTCTCTCGTTTTTTTCTTGGTCACAATGTAGATGAACAATGGTAGGGGATATAGGCAGTAGAAATGTTGGATGTGCAGTAGAAGAATGAAGAGGGATAGGGGAAGTGTAGAGTCAAGGGTGTTTTGAGTATGTACATATAACTTAATCAGAATTATCATTAGTGATAGTTGATACAAGCTGGTATCATGGTCATACTAGAATGAATCTTTATCTGACAGAGGTATATATTAGTTTATCTTGTCAGAAAATAGAAAAAGAAGGATTCAGAGTGTCAAAAAGTATTTGCAGTTTTAAATATGTTACAAATAAACTGCTTCATTGATATAATGGCTTCTAAAACATCAGAATGCTGAAATGTAATAAAGTAACACTACGTGAAGAACTGTCAATCCTGGTCTTCTCTCAATTTCTCAGATCAACTTATTTTTGTGAACCATTTTAATTTTTTGGTTTGTAAGCATATCTTTCGATACTTGTATGATAACTTGTCCGTTCTTTTTTATTGTGGACAGGTGACAGCATCAGCATGGCTGAATGACTTGCGAAATCAAATTGAGCACACTAGAATATTGAGCACTGTTTATCGTTCAGCATCTGCACTAGGGTCTCGTCTTCCATCAATTGCCACGGCTAGAGCTAGAGTAGCTGGTGCTGGTGCGATCCTACGTCCAATATCTAATAAAACACAGGTTTGTTTCATCTCTCATCCTTCGTGGTTTAGACTGTCCTGTACCTTGCAAATTTACCTGTAAGGAGATGCATGCACTTATCCTTGAAAATGAACTGAAGTAATTGTTATATTCTGGGTTTTTATGCCAATTATAATTTACCCATCATGGTCATCTAAAAGAAAAATACTTTTACCAAAACTGGAACACTTTTTTTTCCCAGCAATTTGGTTGTAACCAAGTAGCTGAGTGTCGAGTGCCATTTCTTGGATCTATGTTCCATTTATTGCCAACAAACATGCTTTAGCTAGTGAAATATTTGTTTTAAAAGTTTAGCCATGTTCATAGGGATACTGACAAATTGTCACATAGTTTGGCAAATCCAGTCATCAGAAATGGCTTATCTCAAGATTGGGATGCTGATTTTTTGTAATTCGTGATCCATGATCTCCATCACCTACAGTTTAATTAGTGAATGAAGGTCTTTCTTCCCTAGAAAAAGAAAGAGAAGAAAGTTATGTCTATGTTTTATTTCGTTGTCTTCGTACATGATGATCGCTTTTACCTTAGGTTGTGGTGAAGACAGCCCGCAGTGTGGCTCAGGCTGCATGGGCTCAACCTCCACTGAGGCTATCTTCGTGGTCCTGTATTGGGCCTCGTCATCGAAGCAAGTCAACTGTTCCAAACTCAAGACTAGAAGAAAGCATTTCAGGATCCTCGACCTCAGCAAAAGAAAATTCCGAGGCTCTTGCCAGTTCAACTGAAACAACCACTTTGGAGAACATAGAAATCATTACTTCTCAGGGTGTAGGGTGGACCACAGAATATGAGTGTTCACAAATCAGTGAAATATCTCATGCTACTGAGGTGGATGACAATGAGGACGACAGTGATAGTGAGGATCTCATGGGCCATGGTAGGATCGAGGACAGTATGACCGAGGTTGAGTTGTGGCAGCAACTGGAGAATGAGTTATACCGAACTAGGCAGAATAAAGATGGTGACTTGGCAAATGAGAATGAAGATGCCGATTTGGAAAATGAAATAAGGGAGGAGCAGAACACCACTGCTGCTGAGGAGAGCAGGGGGACAACCGAAGGCATGCTGACCGAAACAAAGGAAGTTCATAGATTTTACCCCCCTGGAAAAATCATGCACGTTGTGCCCATCCTTCCGGATGGAACAACCAACCAAGAAGCTCCGAACGATGGCCATGACGATGGAAGCCTGCCGGTTGAGCCTAAATTTGGGATTTTCTTGACACCAAGGTCACTCTATGGTAAATTGAGGCTCTCACAGACGATGATAAATGATCATTACATGCCGATTTACAGAAGAAACATTGAGCAAGTAATCAGTGAGCTCGAGAAAGATATTTCCTCGGACATCTCTGGAGATGAAACCATTTTATAGTATATGATTTCTCTGTGTCCTCAAGTGGCCCCAGGCAAGGTGCCATCCCTTGCTAGGCTGAATAGGATCGAAGTAGAGGCTGAAGGTTCTGAAAATTCTGTAAATTAGTAGAGAAAAATTTGCGTTTTTCCCTGTTATATATAAGTTCTTTGTTTAGCCATCTTTTATAATCTGTATCATTTGGTGAGTGTTCATCATCCAAGGATAATACTCATCAGAGAATCAAGTAAAAACCTGAATACACATTTATCACAAACAAAGTGTAACCATTGTATGCCCGCAAGTTATTGTTCTCTATGAGATATTGTCTCTCATGTCACATCGAGTTGCATCATTTCTTGATCGCAAGGAACAATTCACTGTGAAGGCGCAAAAATAGAGATGTGAAGCAACCCGCACCCCTCGAAGCTGAAGCTAAAGAAGAGATAGAACAAAGATCACTTAACTTTGTTGTTAAAGGCTTCAATTATTAATATCAAAATTCTGGATCAAATCTCCTCTTCACCATTTCTCATATGCCAAAAGATTAAGGGGAACTTGAACCCACCACTTGTAAGAAGAATGAACAGTTGCAAGATTTTCTTGGTTTGGTGTATACAAGATTACAGAGGACTGCTCACATAAAGATTACTTGATGACACACAGAAACCTGATGTACAATCCAGGAAGATAAGAAACAATAAGCCAAATTCCATCCCATGTCTCTATTCCTCTCTCTTGACTGTAATTTTTCAGCTGTGTATCACTAAAAACCAAAGTGATCTCTTATGACCATGGTTCACTCAGCTAAATCCATCAATTGGATTTTGATAGCAACAGAAGTAGTCAATCCAATCCATCAGGATAAGAGATCACTTTGCTGGGGAGGACAAGGTACATGAGAAATGGTTCTGCAAGGGGAGCAAGATAACACAATGCTGGAACGAAGGAAAGCAGGAGAACAGCAACATATCATCAACAGCAACATGCAAAAGTTCTGAATGTTTCTGTGAAAAGATCTGCTTGGGTGATAGGCTTCAAGAACACATATTCAGAGGACAACAGATTAAAAGCTAAAAATGTAGATAGTAGCCATATTAACGCCTCCTGATTTATTGCCCATCGTTAACACTGCCAGTTGAGTTCACAAGAAGAAGAAAAATCTTGCACTGTGTTTATAATCAGCAAGAACATGCACTGTGTCTCCAAGCCATGGCGCCATGAGCATGTAAGAGACGATCACTTAGCACGCAATCCAAAGATCTCGAGAGGGTCAGAAGTGGCTCACAATGGAGTGGCAGCTGAGATTTGGAGAGGACGATGGAGAGGTCACTGAAGGTCTCAGAATAGAAGATTTAGGTAGGACGTGTAACAAAAGATTAGATTTGGGAGTTGTTGATCTGCCATTCCTTCAAGTGAAGGTAGTATCATCATTAGCCATTGTCTAATCTATTCATTGGAATTTAAACACCATAAGTTTAGAGGTTTTTTTTTCATTTTTTATTTTAAATTTAGATTATTATTGTTATTTTTTATTTTAAATATTTAAGATTTAAGATTTTATTATTGTTATTATTATATTATTATTATTTTTAATATATAAATATTTATGAGTTAGATATTATTGTATCTCAAAAAATAATTATTTTCTTGATTATTGAAAGTCTGTTATTATTATTGTTGATTTTTCGTGATCTAAATAATTAGGTTTGAGACATTATTATCTTTCTCTTTGAATTTTCGTGAAAATAAAACTAAAACATTTTATTTTTATAATTATAAAAAATTTTAATATAAAATTTTTTAATCTAAAGATTAAGGAGATTTATAGGTCACGTCGAAGACGCTTTATCTCCACGTGGCAATAGGTAGCCACAAAAGACACCGTATGCTGCGCCGAGACAAACACCGGATCCGCCTTCTTCCGGCCCAAGAACGAGCCATCAACTAAAAAGGACAATTCGCACACGCTTCCTCTGATCTCTCGAGAACTCCGAGGCTCCGCCGCCCGCCACCATGCAGACCCTCCTCCTCCCCGCCGTGGACGGTCTCCGCCTCTCCTCCCCCGAACCTCCCCCCACGCTCCGTCGACGCTCCCCCCGCCCGCTCACCGCCGTCCGCGCCTCTGCCGCGCCGCCCCGCAGGGAGACGGATCCGAAGAAGCGGGTCGTGATCACCGGCATGGGGCTGGTCTCCGTGTTCGGAAACGACGTCGATGCGTACTACGACAAGCTCCTCCAAGGGGAGTGCGGGATCGGGCTGATTGACCGGTTCGACGCGTCCAAGTTCCCCACAAGGTTCGCCGGCCAGATCAGGGGGTTTTCGTCGGAGGGGTACATTGATGGGAAGAACGACCGGCGGCTCGACGGCTGTTTGAGGTATTGCCTGGTTAGTGGCAAGAAGGCCCTCGAGAGCGCCGGCCTTGGTGTTGGGAGCCAAACCCTTAACAAGGTTCGATGTGCTCTCATCTGACTAAATGAATTCTCATCTTCTTGGAACTGAAATGCGTCGTGTGATTAAAAAGATGACTTTTCGTTTTAATTAAAGACCAGATGAAATTTTGTTGCTTTTTTCTTGATGAAAATTTAACTTGTAGCTGAAATGTAGCTTGTTTCTGGTTATTTGGTTATGGAGGATCGAGTTGGACCATGCCTTTACCTGAATCCAATCAAGAATTGTTGCAATCTCGGATAGGACTTTATTGTATTTGAATCAAAACTGATACTTGGAACCTTCCTCTAAAGTTTTGGGTTTATTAACGTTCATTAACTATGTTAATTTAAAGATCTATTGCTTGATCGGCTGTTTGGTAACGTTCTTCAGCTGGATCTCACTTGATCATGTGTCTGCCCCTTTGTTGCTGTCTATTAATTCTTTTTCATGGCTACCTTAATGTATGCGATGCATGCTGCAGCTTATGCCAACCATCATTATTGCATCACCAACAGAAAATTTAGTTACTGAGATATTATCTAGAACATGAAATTAAGTTTGTGCCTCATCAAAATAGATTTTTTTTTTTTTCTGGTTTCCCTTGCTTCAACTTATTAAATTGTTTTAGTTCTTTTTCCCATTTCATTGATGTGAAGCATTAATACGACTGCTTATTTATACTTCACACTTGTTTCATAGTTGTTGTTATTTGATGGCTAGAGAAGCTCTCATTACTTTCCTGCCTATGTACTTTTTGACTAACTATTTGTTGTCATCAGATTGACAAGGTTCGAGCTGGTGTTCTTGTTGGTACAGGCATGGGTGGTCTTTCAATCTTTTCTGATGGGGTTCAGGCTTTAATAGAGAAAGGCCACAGGAAAATAACTCCATTTTTCATTCCTTATGCCATAACAAACATGGGTTCTGCGCTACTTGCAATGGATATTGGTTTCATGGGTCCTAACTATTCAATTTCTACTGCATGTGCAACGTCAAACTATTGTTTTTATGCTGCTGCTAATCATATTCGTCGTGGTGAGGCTGATATAATGATTGCTGGTGGTACTGAAGCTGCCATCATTCCAATTGGTGTTGGGGGTTTTGTTGCATGTAGAGCATTATCTCAAAGAAATGATGATCCTAAAACTGCATCAAGACCATGGGACAAGGATCGAGATGGCTTTGTCATGGGGGAAGGTGCTGGAGTACTGGTATGCGCTAACATATCTTTATTTTTTCCTCCACATCTTTTGTTATACAGTGTAGAGAGAGGTTGTAGGTTCTATCAATTCATGATGATTTTCATCGAACTTGGCTAAAGTTGATATCTAAAAGCATTATCCATCAAAATTCCATATGTCGACACAGGACAATGTAACGATGCTCCCTCAGACCAGTATGAGTAATGTATTGATCAGCATACTGTCTGGTGCATTAGTATTACCAGCTGTATGAATTAATTACACTTCTCTAATATTTTATCAGTGGCAGGAAGATTAATTTGCATTTCAGTTTGAGAAGTGAAAGAAGTGAGTTTGGGAATGAGGACTTTTGATTAATGGGTGCATTTATGGGTGTTTGACATGTCTGAAATGATTCTTTGGCCATAGTCATACATTGTTTGGTAAAATCAATAGTCAGTGGTTATGGTGACAAAATATGAACAATGATTAAGTTTCGTTGCTGTACATGAGTATGAATACCTCAAACATTTGCTAAATTACTTGGAAATTGGTATGGAAATTTTAGCTTGTGTTAATCCCAATGACATGTTTGTGCATTTGATAGAAATAGATAAATTGGTTAATCATGCAAATCACACTTTCAGCGGAGATTTTTATAGTTACTAATTTTTGCTGCTTCTTTTTGTTTAACATCAATCGGTGAAGGTCATGGAGAGCCTTGAACATGCAATGAAACGTGATGCACCAATAATTGCTGAGTACCTTGGAGGTGCTGTCAACTGTGATGCCTATCATATGACAGATCCTAGAGCTGATGGACTTGGGGTTTCATCTTGTGTCCAGAAAAGTCTTGAAGATGCTGGAGTGGCACCAGAAGAGGTAATCCAGAGTTGCTTTCTACCAGTGTCAAGCATATATATTGTTTCTTTTCTTCAGTTCTTTTATCATCTTGGTATTTCTTCTTTGATGTGTTGAACTTAAAAGGCTTAAATTCTTCATAAAATAGTCAAATGAATATCCTATACTACTACTACTTGTTAAAAGATACTCGAATGTAGTATACATATGCACATATCATTGCATTGGTGTTGGATATTATTTTATGTATATATTTCTATTTTCTACTCATTGAAAAGCTTCTCTAGGCATTTTATATTTATGTCAACCTAAGAAATTATATTTAAGATGATAGCAAAAAAAAAAAAGAAATAATTTGTTAAAAATAACAATTTATATTAAGTATATAATATTTCAGTATATGATTATTATGTATGTCATGTGAAGAAGTTTGAGGGTGAAAGTTGTTCCTTTGTGATTTTGATTACCAAGGTTTTAATAACGAAAATAGTCTATTTGCTTGTATGGGGTGTGCCATCCTTTTTAGACAATATCAGCTGAAGCCTTGTTCATTAGGTTGTCCTTTTTATATGGGAAGACTTAAAACTAGTCCACTTGAAACTTCATTTGGAAGGTCTGATGATTCTCTCTAGTCACCATGAAGAATGAATTATTGGTTCATGCAAATGTAAATAAAGGGAACTTCATTTGCAGAGATGATAAATCTTGAATTCCACAGCAACTATCTTCTTGTTATGCATCCCTATTTCAATAATAAGGTCTATCTCCACTTTCCTTTCATTACATCTTTTACTGTCTTTATGCAATGGTGGACGATCAAGGATGACATGATTAATGTGAATGTGCCATGAGTAACAAATGCATCAGTGGTAACATCTCTGCTTTAGAATCATAATTACAAGTTTCTTTTTTTATCTTTCCTCATTCTTGGCTTCACTCTTCTTTTCCTTCCTCCTCACTTATTCTTTTGAGGCTATTGGTGTCTTTTTAAATTTAATGTTTATATATATTTTTCTTTTTTTGAGAAGAAATCCTATGGCATTATGAAGTAATTCTTGCCTATAAAACACTGTTTCAAAAGTGATGAGGCAATCACCGTTTTTTTGCATCATGGAGTTCCAATAAGTACTGGACTTGTAAATACTGAAATGTCAGCTAAACCTCACTGTCTGATTTTGTTTCCAGGTCAATTACATAAATGCTCATGCAACTTCCACACTTGCGGGGGATCTGGCAGAGGTGAACGCCATTAAACAGGTTTTCAAGGATCCATCTGCGGTTAAGATGAATGCAACAAAGGCAAAGAACTTCTCCTGATTTTGCAATGTTCTATTGCTGCTTTATGCATTTCTGACACGGTCCTATATATTCAGTCTATGATAGGGCACTGCCTTGGTGCAGCAGGCGGTTTAGAGGCTATTGCAACTGTGAAAGCCATAACTACAGGATGGCTGCATCCAACTATAAACCAATTCGTAAGTGAAAATCTGTCTCTTATGGTAATAAACAAAAGGATACCATATTCTATTAAACCATTAAATTATCATTTTAGATTTTTGTTTGCATATGAATTTGACTCTTATTTGTAGCAAGATTCATGTTGTTTCCCATGAGAGCTCAATGATCAAATTGGGCACAAAAACAAATAACAGCATCTAAGAGCGTCCATTATGTCTAAAATATGCTGGATACGAGTATTCCAGACTATCAAACTATAACCAAATTTTTACTTTAATGGACCTTTTTTTGTGTAATTTTCTGAAAATTGTTTAGTAGCTTCGGTCTTACCATTATCATTCTGTTTAATAAATTTGAATTGATGTTCAAATATTATTATTGTATATGCTTTCTCCATTTGAAGGCTGTAACTAGCTGTTAGGTAACCCACATATTTTGATGATAAAAATCTTTCTGCATGTGCAATAACTGTAGAATTTAGAGCCAGCAGTTGAGTTTGATACCGTGGCAAACGAAAAGCAGCAGCATGAAGTTAATGTTGGTAAGTTGGAAATATTCTCTCATACTTCATCATTCCCTCCTCATCTTCCTCCTCTCTCTCTCTCTCT